CCCAGCCGTTATTGGTCCAGATGTTAGCCGGTGCCAATAGGTGAAATCCTTCAGGGCATGACAATATTGCAGCGGCCCTTGCTCTGTCATCGAGCGGGTCGATCCAATAAGTGTAAGGATTGTGAGTGCAATCCTGGGAAAAAAATGGGGGAGATGTGACATGCCGAATTGTCACAGGGTTGTTGATTGTTTGGTGCTGCCCTCGAGTGGCGAAATGAGAGAAAAGATAGACGGCAGCACTACAGAGAACAGATGGCAGCACGATGCCACCATGCTGGATCAGATAGGAAGCAGAAGAAAGCATTCTGCTGATTAGTAATTTCTATCGGTCAACATCTACGAGGTTATCGTGTGACCCAGGGCAGTTTGTTGCCCGCGAAGTTGGTGTGGTCATTTCTACGGTGGCATGATCTAGCGCGGTCATGTACTTGGCTCCCTAGGGGTTTTTTGTTTGTTTACAAATAAATCTTCAACCCCGCACTTGATTGTTGGAGTCTATTTCCGGACCTCACACTAATTAATCTGTTACACTGTAAAAGTCAAAATTCAATCATCACGTACGTGGGAATTAATTCGCGTGTCTTGCCCGCCGCCGTAGCGTAGTCGGTAGGAGCTCGGTTTCATAACCCGAGATTCCGGGTTTGAATCTCACCTGGGGGGAAACATTTTCTCCTTTACTTTTTTACTCTTTAGTATCTACTTCTGCCACTTCAGCGTTAATTTCAAAATGTAAAAAATAAATTTTCCTATTCATTAAAAAAAATTACGATTTTTTTTACTATTATTATTATCAGTCCTGTTATTATTTACTACTTATTATTTATTATTATTTTCATGTTCTTTATATTATTTATATTCTTTTTTATTGTTTGGGATTGGATGGGATGGGATGGGATGGGGTCGACTGCGATGGGATCGGATCGGATCCCATGAGATGGCATAGGATGGGATGGGATGGGATGGGATAGAAGACGATGGGATGGGATGGGATGGGATGGCATGGGTGGCATGGGGTGGCATGGGATAGGATGAGATGGGATGGCATGGCATGGCAGGACATGGCATAACATGCGATGGATAGATGGATGGAGGAATGGCTGGCTGGATGGATGGATGGATGGATGGATGGATGGATGGATGGATGAATGGATCGGTGAATGAATTGATGGATGGATGGATGGATGGATGGATGGATGGAGGAATGGCTGGCTGGATGGATGGATGGATGGATGGATGCATGCATGGATAGATACATAGATAGATTTACACAATATGGTATTTTCATGAGCTACTGTTTCTTGGAACAGGTCACCCATAGAAATATATAGGGACACTAACTAGTATATTATTTCTATTGTCCACAGTATTGGGTTAGCCCAAGTGTGCTAGTCATGCTTTTTGTGTATATATCCTTGGTAGTTATCCAATTTTATGAATTCAGAATTTTATTGTAAAAGTATGCTATAATTGCCTAAATAAATAAAATAAATAATTGCCTAAATAAATGGAAAAAAATACCCAATCTTACTCTGCTGGTTACATATTTGTATCTACCCTTATCTTAATTAGCACCAAGAAACTAGCATGCATAGAGAGATCATTGTAATGTGTATATTAACGTTACTCTCACTGCGTGGTCGGGCTAATCTTAGATCAATGTCACACAATGAGCAGTCTTATCCGTTGTGCTAAACTTGGCTCGGGCCATCTTATCGAGCATAACGATGACGATTAATCTTAGAAGAGCCACAGCTACGGTGTCAGTAGCTCTAGTGGTGTATAATAATATTAATATAATGGCTGTTGCTCCTGCGACGGTACCGTCGCCGAATTTTTTTCTCTTCAACTCACGGTAGTGATGCCAGCGCCATCTATCGGCGAATAATAACTACCGTTGCTTTTGGTACGATATTATATATACGATTTTATACGATATATACGATAACCCTAACCCTAACCCTAACCCTAACCCTAACCCTAACCCTAACCCTAACCCTAACCCTCATTAAATTAATAAAATTTAATTTTTAAGTTGTTCGTAAAATTAATTGTGTTATTAAAATGTTGTAAATAAATAATGTTAATATTTGCGTTAATTGGAAAAAAATGTTAAACAGATAAAGATAGAAAAATACAGAAAACAGGAAAATAATTAGAAAGCGGATGATTTGATCCCCCGACCATTCATACTTGGGGCAAGCGCTCTAACCGTTGCGCTGCTGCGAACATATTGAAATTAAAATTTTGGATGTGCTATGTATATCGCGCAAGAAACAGCGCACCAATCAGGCGTCAGTACCGTCAGTACCGTGACTTTAAGGAAAAATAATCGGCGACGGTACCGTCGCAGGAGCAACAGCCTAATATAATATAGGCTGTAGCGGGAGCAAAGGGGCTACACACTCATACACTGACACATAGATACAATAATGTAACCCAAACCCAGGATAGGCTAATAGGATACCCTATCCTGGGTTTGGGTTACATTAAGTCATTATTGTATCTAACTAACTGACGAGTGACGTCACACAGTACACGTACACCGGTAGAGTTACAAATGACAGTTACAGAGACCGCCGACCGGGCTGGGCGTTGACTTTACGGCATCGGTACATAAATTATCATGACCAAACTATCCTTGACATAACTCGAGCCGTAATCTTATTTACTAAAAAGATTTTAAATTGAATTAAACAACGAGATTGTGCGATTTTGCAGGAAATGAACACACTGCTAAACTCTTGTTTGAGGTCTCATTCAATCGTGGACTGGATCGCTGTCCGTAACTTATTACTGCTGCGCATGCGCTTGCAATAAAAACTTGACTAAGTTAAGTACATGGTACCAGTCTAAGTTGCTGATTACCTTTTGTTTGTTTACAACATGTGCAGCCACCTGGTGTCACGCTACATCAGATCTTTCATTCTAGTTTTGTGTGTAAATAACTTGATTATAAGCAGTCATAATTATAATTTAATAATATATACAGTCGTAATGAAATTGAATTGACTTTACAAAAGTAATTATATTATTTTGGCGTTAGTAAGGTGCCAAAAAGGCGTTTTGGGGGATGGAATACACTACAGTAACACAGTACAGTAACAGTCTACAGTACAGTTTTGAGCACTGGCACCAGTGGCAGCCACTGGCAGCAAGATCCAGAGAGACCATGATACAAAGATTGCGTGGCCGCTTTTGCTGTTGATCCTAAGCGACTGGCGGCGATTGAGAGGCGCGCAGTTTGCCGCGGGACTATGCGCACGCGAAACCGCCGGGGGAAAATGTTCAAGTATGAAGCCGCTGGTACCGCAGTGGAGACGTGCGCAAATTTCCGACGGCCCCGGCGCACGTCTCCACAGCGTCAGTGCGGATAGGTCTGTAGTTTTAGAATGATGACATATGATTATATGGACGATATTCTAGAATTAGAGGTTTATATATAATATTAAAAAATCGCCTCAGTCATGCTCGAGATTGGCAGCAAGTTTCCATTCTCGCTTACACTTACATTGGCCTAGCTGTTCCTCTACGGACGTGTTGAAGCAGTCGTGAGAGGCCTGGTCGGTTATTAGCCCCAGATTAGCTGAATCAAAAAGATTACGATCTTAAATATATGAACAAACAAATATAATAGTTATATAAATTCACAAACAAAGAACAGGATCGAGGTGATTAATAGGGCAACCAAGTAAATAAAAAATTCTACAAAGCAAAATATTCATACCTAGGGGATTTAATATAGGAGTTATTAAGCGGTATGATAGCGGGTCGAACTGAAAAATGTATTAATTATTATGAATTATTATTAAATAAACAATCATGGGATTGTTTATGTCTCGCCGTTCGTAAGAACTACTAACATTTCATTGGTATTAGGCTTTAATGCTGGTTTAATAACTCAAACACACAGGTACACTTAAACACGGCAATCACAGCCAGCGAGGCTGGAGCTGCCAAACAGTCTACGCGTTAGCTCGCGCTGCTAGCAGTGCCCAGCACAAAGAACGTTACAGCAACTGCTGCGTTGTCGAATGACTTACTGACTCGCGAAGCCTTTATGCAAGCAGCTTGTGGCCGTGAAACCAACTTATATCAACATAGCGTGATTCGTATCAATTATCTATGGCAAAAAGAGCAAAATTGTGAAAATCAATAGCTATAGAAGCAATGAGTGAAAATTAATGGATACACCAAATGTTTACTGGATGACGCGCTCGTGTGACTTGCGATAGTCGAAGTGACAAATGCAAAAATTTTCTTCTCTTTGATTGCGCGAAATGCTCGGCGGCATTTCATTCATTTTAGAAAAGTCTAAGCATGGGGCTTGCAGTAGGTACAGGAGTCAGACATCACGTGCGTTGACGGCCCCAGCTTCAGGGTTACACGATTCACCGAAGAACCAAGCGCCAAATGCACCAAATACGCCACGCCCAAATCCCACAAGATCCACACCCGCAATCAACCAATCACGCCCCAAATCGGCACAAATCCATAAAATTTACTCGAACGTCAACTCAATGCCTTTAACAAATGATAGGCAAATGGCACGTGAAGATTCAGCCCAAATACTCTGACACTGTGCAGCAGATTTACAGGTGATTCAGTGGATTTGGTTAGGGTTAGAGGTTAGGGTTAGGGTTAGGGTTAGGGTTTAACTGAATTCAGTGAATTCAGTGTAATCTTCAGCTGGCATTTGCTCATTTTGGCTAAATTTGAATAGCGTTGCGAGTAAATTTCAGTGGATTTGGGGGTGATTTGGTGATTTGGGGGTGGATTTGGCTGGATTTGGGGTGGATTTGCGATGGGGATTGTGGGTGATTTGGTGGAATTGGATTTGGGCGTGGATTTGGCGTGAATCGGGTGTACCCCCCACCGCTTTCACTGCAACACACAAATAAGGCGGGGCTTATGCGTGCCTACAGATATGCGAAATGAAAGAAAAGAAACTTAGACACTGTGCCGCAAACAGCGTGTTTATATCGTATTTGGTGCCACACTCTTGATCGTATGAAACGTTGCTAGCTAGGCAGAATGCACTATGTTCCTGAGGATTCGGCCCCGCCATCTCGCGTGTCCGAATGATATTGTACTCACAAGTTTTTGATCATAAAGCGGCCGGCGTGGACTTGTGATGGAAGGCACACAAAGTGTCAATATCGCTGCGGCCTAGCGGCCTCGGGAAATCTGGCCCTGCGTTACGTCAGCCCGCACGTCAGCACACTCCGCGGCCGCCGATTGACTATAATTATACAACAATATATTGTTGTATATATATATTGTTGTATAGTATATGTTGTAATATATATATTTGTTGTATTATATAGTTAATGGCGCGCGATGTGTGCTGTACGTGGCGGGGGCTTTAGATCTTGGCTGCCAGTAGTGGCAGCAAAACCAGTCCGCTGGCAGCCTACAGGCACAGCACCACGGCATTGTGCTATATATAACATAAATGGTTGATAGACATTATGTTTATTATAGTAGACAAATGGCCGTGTGTGTGCTGTAGGCTGCCAGCGGACTGGTTCTTGTCGCTCAGTGGTTTTGAGTAGCTGCAATTGCAAAGGAAATATCACTTACTCTTAGTCTTACTCTTAGGTAGCTGCGCCTGTCTTACTACTTTATTTACTCTTAGTCCTTACTCTTAGCTCTCTCTTGACTTACCTGTTACTCTCTCTAGGCGCCAAGGTTTTGCCACCTCTGGTTAGGAATCGTGATTCGATGGCGATGGTGTACACAATGCGCAGAGCAGCAAGCGTCATTCAAACACGATAAATGACGAAGACGGCGTTGGGGTAACTTGTCAGCTGTTGGTACCGAGTCCAGAGTGGATCGCAGAAGAGAACCGGGTAACAAGATGGGCACTTGCCGCAAAAGATGCGTTGTTTCCTGACCGCCGAAAGCGTTGCCGGCACATTCCGCGGGAAATGGGGCACGGCGACGGGGCTGCGTGTTGTATGTAGTCCATCCGCGCGTCCCCGCTAATAAGAATTCGCGCGCGAAGGAGGCCGGGTCGCCTCCCCGTGGAAGCTGCGCGCGCGAATGCGTATAGCGGGCAGCCTAAACATCGCGCAGTTTTCGGGACACGTACATCGGCTCGGCTACTATCGGCTTTGGAGGGGGCCTTCCCGAATTATAGATTGACCGCGTTTGTACATCCTCGTGCCGTCGCCGTCACCGTGCGCGTATTTTCGTACGGCTTATCTGGCGTTCTCCTCCTCTCTTCTCTCGTCTTTCTCGGCACCCACGGTGCCTCGTTCTGTCGGCTCTCTCTCTCCTCTCTCTCTCTCCTCTCTGCCTCGTTGCTCTGTCGGCCAGCGGGTTAAAAGCGTAGTCTTATATACATGGGCATGCAATGCTGCCGCAGCCCAGGCACACAAACATGGCACTTCCGCAGCGTTTTCATAATAAATTTAATGCTATAATAATTACAAAAATCTATTTACTACCGACAAGTCACCGGGCCGCAAAACTCCCCGAGCCTAGGCGTTTTGTTGGATATAGGCATTTGGACCGTGGCCGGCCCGCCATCGTGAGCGCGGGAGGAGGGAGGCTGGAATGTTGCGCGCTCCGCCCGTCTTCGTAAAAACGATGGTGTATAACTATATATTGTGTGTCGTGTGGCGGGCGTATTGTAGGATTAGCTACGTTGTACAACTGCAGTATTACCCACTGCAGTAGGCATATTGTCCTTGCATACAACTATCTATGTCTTATTATCTGGAAGCAGTATGTCTCTATTATTCGCTATGTCTGATATTGGCGGTACAGTATACACTGGCAGACTGCAATATGCAGAGCGCTCCCGCCGTCTTCGTAAAAACATGTTGGATTATATATTTGTGTGTCAGTGTGGCGGCGCTATTGTAGGATTAGCTACATGCGTTAAAACTGCCACGGCCACGCCAGCACGTACTCGCAGGACGTGCCGTCTGCACGGGCAGCGCGGCGGTCAAGAGGTTGATTAAAACCTCGCACGTACGGAGCCAGGGCGTTTCGCAGATAACATCTAGTGGAAATTCTCAGTGTAACAAACATCAATCAACGGGCTTAGCCAATAATGTAAGGGGTGCGTGCTAAAGATGGCTACGATAATTTTAATCCCACCGTCACGATTGGAAGCTAGACTGCTACGTACGGTACCTTAACTCGGCCAAGTATCTTTCCCTACACTAAAGTTATAGTTAGTGCAGCGCTGTGGAACTCTCCACGCGCGGGCAGTCTAAGCTGAATCGCCGCTCCTCTGTGTAGAAAATGTCCTCTTGAAAAATGCCTCGAAGAGGAGCCTCGTCGCGCATCTATGGGACGCCATATGTCGGAGAATAAATTCAGGGCTGTGAAACGCAAGAATGCAAATCCTCCTTTTCTAGACGAAAATCGGTAAACGCCGCCGACCTCGCAAACAAGCAATTACCACGCATCTTGTATTTATGTCGGACCTACGTGCATAGCCGAAAGGCTGTGAATGGCCCACACTCCTCAATTGGACGATTATACGGCTTATATCCTGTACCCATGAGGGCACTGCGGAGCATTTTTTTATTCCATTATAGGGCAGCGAATAAGATTTATTGTCACCGCTCTAGGCGCGCGCGATTTGCGCGCTTCGCCGCGAATATCGAGCTGCAGCATCGCTCGAGTTCGATTCTGGCACTGCCATTGCCACTGAGTGTTTATCTTCAGTTCGTCGCTTGACTTGTCCGTGTCCACTACACTGGTATATGACAAGGTAGTTAAGTGCATTCAGGATAACCCAATAAAACAAACAGTGTGGCATAGTGATGATGTGAGTGCAATGCAACTGGTTGTACTCTTAAAGTGGGTTCGGCTGGCATGTGGGGGTGAAGCCTTGACTTAAAAAAGTCAACATCCGTTGCTCTCCACAACACCCACGGGTAGGTTGTTCAAGATTGGAATCATTCCGGGAAAATGAACATTTGAATGCGTTGTTGTTACAGTGCAGGTGCCGAAATTTGCCACTGGCAGTAATTTCCCTAGTCTTAATGATTTGGCGCAAAATGCTAGACAACTTTACTTAGGCCATGACAATGAACTTTTACATTTCGTCGGACATGTCATGCGTTGGAGCTCTTTTCATACTGGTCATAGCCGTTAATTCTTTCTAGAACGCCGTCGTGCGCATATACCCATTGTGTACACCGTTTAAGTGGCGTGTTATGGCGTTAGTTCAGTCGTCAGTGAGGATGTTCAGGAAGGAGCCAGACGTAGTTCAGCGGTAAGCAACACCCAACGTTTTTGACTGAAATTTATCTGTCTAAGCATGGAGCTATGAGCAGGGCTCTATGTCCGCCCAGGGTACTGTCGAGACGCTACCTCTCAGTACATCTAATATGCCGGACAGGACCTCGCCTACTCCACTATCGCAGTTTAGAGATCGCCTATGCCTATCCTACACCCTAACCCTACCCTAACCATATCTAGATAGTTACAGGTACATTCCGCAGTACCGCTGCGACATAGACCTGATGAGCCAATAGTGATACACTGCACTGGAGTATTCCTGTGGTGAAGCAGTCGAAGCTGTTGCCGGTAACTGCATGCGCCATACTACTACTTAGTATGTTATTATACGTGATTACAGCCTTTTACAGCTGTTTGATGATTCGAAACTTGGAATTTTTGTGATAGAGGCCTTTTTATTGTAAATACTAAATGTGTTTAAAACATTATGCAACTTTTTCGACGGTGTTCTGGACGCATTGCAGTGCGGCGAACGCAAATCTAAAACTTTCATTCTCATGGCCTTATCAATATCCTCTGAAAGTAAGATATACAACGATCTCTTTGTGGATATTGTTGGCTATTGTCGGTTTAGATAACTGTTTAATTTGTGTCTTCACACAGAACGCGCATAAACTGTCATCTCGCTAAATAGATATATATATACTATATATTATATAATATATATATATATATATATATATATATATATATATATATGCTATTTCTAATAGTTCCTTATAAATATAACTAGTATCACATTGCTGACATTTATTGTTGTTTAAAATCTCTTTATATATTTCTAGATTTGAGGGAGTGGACATCCAGCAACCTCTGTTAAAAAGAATCCCAGCAAGGCACAGCATGGCTAAGCGAACATTTCAGATAGCATCACTTGCCTGACTGCTTGTCATGATATTAGCCATAGGTACCAATGCAGGAACTGTTTATCTATGCAATAGGAAAAATGCATTGCTGCAGCGTTTAAGAGCACAGGTAAATGTTAATGTTATTTGAAAAACACTAACAGGAACTTTAAGTTTCTATTATTAAAAGAGTTTTAAAACCACATTTTAATCAGTTTTTGACATTTTGATGATAGTTGAAATTATATCGCCTCAAATCTGACAAGTAATGAAGCATTCTTACCGCGTTGTCATATACAGCAGTTATTATATCGGCTATCCTATAGTCAACATATTACCATTTACAAATATTTTACTGGAAGTATTACATTTAATCGTTATATTCAAACGAACGAAATAAGTCATGAAAGTTGTTATATCTTTTAGAATACAAATGATGGCATTGCTAGTATAAAAATATACTCTTCGGCCATCGATACTATGGTTGCCATGGGAACCACCAGTGGCACAGTTCTAATCTATCAGCTCCCGTCAGCAATACCAGGACCTGGCCATAGAAAACAGGTACAATACAACTCGTAAATAACTCTGACTATAAAACTAGTACTGAACAAACAAAGAAGTTATCAATCTCATTTGATTAGCTTACCCTATGTTTGCTACGCAGAAGATTTCACGCCGGTACATCATCTTTGCATAATGATGTCATATAAAGGTTTGTACTAGTGTATCCGCAGAAAGTCGCAGAAGTTGTCGTGAGGTAAATCACTGCAATTATTAGCAGGATATATATTGCATGACACGTATCTGTCATCATATCTGGATGTAGATTAAAATACACTCGGCTGGCTACAGGGGCGTCACAGCCGTAGGGCTGCCGTAGCAAAACGCTACAGGCCCCCAACCTAAAGGGGCCCCCAAACTTTATCCCCTCCCCTAAAAAAAATAGCCTCAGAATGCTGGAAATAGCATTTTAGAGCGTTTAGATGTCAAAATTTTTTTTGGGGGGGAGACCTCCCCCGACCCCCCTTCACACTTCCTACCTCCGGCACTTGTGCCGGGCGCCTCAGCACCTTGGTTGTGGTGTGTGCAGTTGGTGGTGGTGGTCCATCCAAAAAATATTCATGTTTAGGGCCTCAATTTCATTTTTGCTTACAGGCCCCCAATCATGTTGTGACGCCACTGGCTGGCTGCCTGCTAATATTACAGTTCTTGTTTTTTCAGCTGGAAAAGTTTGTGATATCAGAGATTCATCACCAGCCGGTAGTTACAATGGAGTGGAGTGTAAATGGCATGCGTCTGTTCAGTGGTGACCTGGAAGGCTTGGTAGTTCACACACAGCTGGATTTTACCGAGGCATGTCGAACCTTTTAGAACTTTGCAATAGTCTGAGCATATTTTGAATTCATATTAATACATGAAGGTAATGAATTTTTTACTAATTTCAATAAATCACAAGTTGAGTAAAATCAAGTAGATGTCGATAAGGAACATAGGTAGGAATGGTAGCCAAGGCGCCTTCGTAGATCATGGTTTGGCCATCATCTGCTTCGTCAAGAGGGAAACTCAACATGACGCATATCTCTATCTATAGAATATTCTATAGATATGTTCATGATTTCAAGTAATGGTCGTAATTGAATGTCAATCGAAAATGTTATCGCGAGTGCTTTAATAACTTAAATGCTAGATTAAACTTTCTCTATTTGTACAGAGAAAACCTTGGTAACGAAGTCGATACTGACGACGGTGAATTCAAACTATTCAGTATTATAGCATGCATCTCTGTTCTCCTTATTCTCATACTTTGTGAGGTTCTGCTGGCAAAACCTACTCAATTTTTTGCTCACATGCTGTCTTACTTTTGCATGCAGCATGTGTGCCGGTCAGGGGAGCTGTTGAGGGAGACGCATGAGATAGTCCAACTGAGTTACAGTCACAAGATCCTGCTCGTGTCGACAAAGCGGCGAAACGTCCTGTTTGACATAGAATCCAGTCAAGCCACGCAGATTGGCCGACAAGAGAGAAAAAAGTTTGTGAAGCCGCTACCCTTTTTATGTAGATTTTCTGGATAATACGCAGCATAATATAATAATACATAGATAACATAATCTACTTTACCTAAAATCTCTAAGATTCGTTGTGAAATGCATCTCGGTCGTTTTGTTGTTGTCCAACCCCATGGTTTTATTTCGATCATTAGGAAAGTATGCAGGTTGTGTAGCCGAACATTCATGTTTCATTACGCAATAATATATATAAATAATATATAATAATATATAAACCACAATAAAACCAAAAACGAAGCTGATATGATTTTTGACTGAGTCCCATCCACAATGTATCGTTCTAAAAATATAATACACAAATTAAATACTTAAAATTGTTTTAATTAATTTCTTTAATTATACTTTATAGTGGTATAATTCTGCACATATTGCGATAAAAAAATTTCATTTGCTGCCAACCGTGATGTGTTCTAACCGGGGTTAACGGTGAGATTTAACGACAAGGCTTAACGACGAGGTGCAAAATGCTAGACAATTTACTTAGGCCATGACAATGAAACTTTTACATTTGCGTCCGGACATTTTTCAAATGGCATGAGGTTTCTTTTCATTATTCATTACCTAGCGCACGTCGTGCAATACCCATTGTGTCACCGTTAAGTGGCGTATTGGTTAGTTCAGTCGTCAGTGAGGATGTTCAGAGGAGCCAGACGTAGTCTCAGCGTAACCAACACCCAAACGTTGACTGAATTTTTCTGTCTAAGTGGAGCTAAGAGGGTCTATGTCCCCCAGGGTACTGTCGGAACCTAGCCTGGTACTATCTAATATGCCGGACCGGACCTCGCCTACTCCACTAATGAGTTTAGAGATTCGCCTATGCCTACTCCCTAACCCTAACCCTAACCCTAACCATATCAGATAGTTACCAGGGTACATTCCGGCAGTACCCTGGGCGACATAGACCCTATGAGCCAAAGTGGATACATGCACTGGAGGTATCACTGTGTGAAGATCGAAGCTTGTTGGCGGTAACTGCATGCGCATACTACTACTAGTATGTATTATGCGTAATTACAGCCTTTTACAGCTGTTTGATGATTTCGAACTTGAATTTTTGTGATAGAGAGCCTTTTTTATGTAAATAACTAAATGTGTTTAAAATTATGAACTTTTTCGACGGGTGGTTTTGGAGCATGCAGGCGGCGGACGCAAATCTAAAACTTTCATTCTCATGGCCTTATCAATATCACTCTAAGTAAGATAACAACGACTCCTCTTTGGATATTGTTGCTATGTCGGTTTAGATAAACTAGTTTATTATGTGTCTTCACACAGACGCGATAAACTGTCATCTCGCTAAATGATATATATATATGTATCCTTAATAGATCCTTAATAAATATAATAGTATCACATTCTGACATTTTATTTGTATTAAAATCTTTATTATATTTCTAGATTTGAGGGAGTGGACATCCCAGCAACCTCTGTTAAAAAGAATCCCAGCAAAGGCACAGCATGGCTTGCGAACATTTCAGATAGAGTTCACTTGCCTTGATGCTTGTCATGATATATTAGCCATAGGTACCAATGCAGGAACTGTTTATCTATGCAATAGGAAAAATGCATTGCTGCAGCGTTTAAGAGCACAGGTAAATGTTAATGTTATTTGAAAAACACTAACAGGAACTTTAAGTTTCTATTATTAAAAGAGTTTTAAAACCACATCTTAATTTATTTTTTGACATTTTGATGATAGTTGAAATTATATCGCCTCAAATCTGACAAGTCATGAAGCATTCTTACCGCATTGTCATATACAGCAGTTATTATATCGGCTATCCTATAGTCAACATATTACCATTTACAAATATTTTACTGGAAGTATTACATTTAATCGTTATATTCAAACGAACGAAATAAGTCATGAAAGTTGTTATATCTTTTAGAATACAAATGATGGCATTGCTAGTATAAAAATATACTCTTCGGCCATCGATACTATGGTTGCCATGGGAACCACCAGTGGCACAGTTCTAATCTATCAGCTCCCGTCAGCAATACCAGGACCTGGCCATAGAAAACAGGTACAATACAACTCGTAAATAACTCTGACTATAAAACTAGTACTGAACAAACAAAGAAGTTATCAATCTCATTTGATTAGCTCACCCCATGTTTGCTACGTAGAAGATTTCACGTCGGTACATCATTTTTTCATAATGGTGTCATATAAAGGTTTGTACTAGTGATCCGCAGAAAGTCGCAGAAGTTGTCGTGAGGTAAATCACTGCAATTATTAGCAGGATATATATTGCATGACACGTATCTGTCATCATATCTGGATGTAGATTAAAATACACTCGGCTGGCTGCAGGGGCGTCACAGCCATAGGGCTGCTGTAGCAAAACGCTACAGGCCCCCAGCCTAAAGGGGTCCCCAAACTTTATCCCCCCCCCCAAAAAAACAATAGCCTTAGAATGCTGGAAATAGCATTTTAGAGCGTCTAGATTTCAAAATTTTTTTTGGGGGGGAGACCTCCCCCGACCCCCCTTCACACTTCCTACCTCCGGCACTTGTGCCGGGCGCCTCAGCACCTTGGTTGTGGTGTGTGCAGTTGGTGGTGGTGGTCCATCCAAAAAATATTCATGTTTAGGGCCCCAATTTCATTTTTGCTTACAGGCCCCCAATCATGTTGTGACGCCACTGGCTGGCTGCCTGCTAATATTACAGTTCTTGTTTTTTCAGCTAGAAAAGTTTGTGATATCAGAGATTCATCACCAGCCGGTAGTTACAATGGAGTGGAGTGTAAATGGCATGCGTCTGTTCAGTGGTGACCTGGAAGGCTTGGTAGTTCACACACAGCTGGATTTTACCGAGGCATGTCGAACCTTTTAGAACTTTGCAATAGTCTGAGCATATTTTGAATTCATATTAATACATGAAGGTAATGAATTTTTTACTAATTTCAATAAATCACAAGTTGAGTAAAATCAAGTAGATGTCGATAAGGAACATAGGTAGGAATGGTAGCCAAGGCGCCTTCGTAGATCATGGTTTGGCCATCATCTGCTTCGTCAAGAGGGAAACTCAACATGACGCATATCTCTATCTATAGAATATTCGTCGTAGAAGCAGCAGGCGGCGTGATATCTGTACATCGCCTCCCCAGACGCGGCGGAACCGTCCGTCGGGCTTTGACATAGACCAGGCTCAAGGCCTACGCGACGCAGTTGTAGGACGGCAACTAACGAGAGAAAAAATTTGTGAAGACGCCCGCTGAGAGCCCAGCGATGGCACTTTCTTGTATTAGAAGTTTTGTTGATATCTAGCTAGACGGCCAGCGATAATATACATAGCATGGACACAGAGGTAGGGGATCAGAGTCATTAACTCTATAACCTGTCACCTGTCAAAATCTCTAAGATCGTTGTGAAATCAGTCTCGGCGGTCGTCGTTTTGCTGTGTTGCTCGGCAGCAACTTCCGCACACGGCGCAGCCGCCGCAATCGGTGTGTTATTTCGATCCATTGCTAGGCAAAGTATGCAGCGACGCGTATCGTGAGCCATCCCGAACAGATCTCATCGGTTTCCTATGTCACGGACGTTGGGCTGTGCACATAAGATACTCATATAGAGATACATATATACACACACTCATATAAACCAGCGGCCGGAACGCAAGCCCAATAAAACCAAAAACGAAGCTGATATGGATTTTTTGAACGTGAGCTCCCATCACAATGTATCGTTCTACAAAATATAATACAACAAATTAAATACTTAAAATTGTTTTATTAAGTTAATTTCTTTAATTATACGTTTATAGTGTATACATTCTGCACCTATTGCGATAGCGCCGAACAACAATTTCATTTGCTGCCGCAAGCCGTGATGTGTTCTAACCTAGGAGTTAACGGTGAGATTTAACCGCACAAGTGCTGTACACGAACTGAGCGCATTAACGACAAGGCTTAATGACGGGGCTTAACGATGAGGCTTAATAACGAGGCTTAACGATGAGGCTTAACAACAAAGCTTAACAACAAGGCTTAACGATGAGGCTTAACGATGAGCCTTAACGACGAGGTTTAACGATGAGCCGCTTTAACGAACCAGATGTTAAGCGGGGCGATGCATCGTTAGTGACAAAAGCTAACGAGGCTCACCTTGCCGACGTCGCTGAGGCTTAACGCACGCGAACTTAAAAACAACAAGGCCTTACGAGAGGCTTAACGATTGAGGCCTTAAAACGACGAGG